TTCTTGCTTGACTTGCACTCCAATCCAAAGTTTGGAGCTCCAAGTCATGCGCCTCTATGCTATTCGGCCGCCTCATCGCACCGCCTCTTGCGCGCGCCGTCTATTCGGCCGTCTGCCAGCGCGCCCGTGTGCGTGCGTAGCGCCCGTTGGGCACCCGACATGCACGCCTTCTATTTCTTTGGGCCGCCTGGTGCCTTAGCCATCCCCACCAGGTCTAGCTCCTTCGGCGTGCTTCTTTAAACCTCCAATGGCGCTTCCTTTTGAGTCGTGGTCTCGTCCGAGCACGTCTATGCCATTACGCATGTTCGCGCCCTCCCGGTTGGGTCGATTCACGCCTTGGCCACGTTTGGGTTGACTTGTGCCGCCTCTTTTGTGCTCGTACACCTCGCATTCGCGCTCGTACACGTCGCTGAGGCCATGCGTGCGTAGCTTTGGCCCTTTTCTCGACCTTCTCGAGCCTTCTCGGCTCTTGGACCTTCTCGTCGTCGGGGCTCCAAACCCACTTCTGTATCATTCTCGCTCCCTTTGAGAATGTCCTTGTCCTCAAGGACTCGTCCTCCACCATCCAAACTTCGGGGACTCCTTCATTGATCACGTGCGCATCCCACTCATGGTCCTCGTCGACCAAGACTTTACTCTTGGCATCGATCGTCGGTTGGGACGTCGCCTCCTCTTCGACCTTTAGGACTTCGAACGTAACCTCTTCATGGCCCTCCTCATCCTTGACTCCATCGGCCTCACTCATAACCTCTTTGTTGGACGAGTGCGGTTTCTCGCACTCGACCGGCTCGACCGTAATTTCTATCTCATACTTATCGTGCTTGACCAATTCAACCTTCGGCTCCTTCTTGGACTTGCCTTGGGCCTTACCACATGGTCTCGATTTCTTCGAAACATTGGTCCTGCTCGGCTTGTGCTCCTGGGGTCGTTCGCGTCTGTGCGGCTGCGGTGGTGGCCATCCCCTTTGGTGTTGGAGGTGGTGCGCCACCTCGTCGAACCTTCGATTGATGTTCTCAATCAAATCCTCCAACGTTATCTTGGTGGTGTTGAACCCTTCGCCTAGGTTTTCCATGGCGTCGCGCATGTTTCGGACTCGTCTTGAAGATGAAGATAATATATATATATATAGATATAGGGATGCGCTCCAGTGAGAATAGTTCTCAATGAAAGAAATAAGAATATATCTCAGCCATTAAAATTGATCATCCAACAGTTTAAAACAATCAACTAATTTAATACTCATTAAGGGTAATATGGTCCACGTACATATCTCATCAAAACCAAACCTAATTAATTATACTGTTGGGCCCACAATCTAACGCAACCAACCCCTCATCTTCAACCTCCCTCCATCTCTCACAGAACACACAATAACACACACTAACACACACCACACACATCGCAGCAACCAGTCAACCACCCCACCCCCACCCACCCCACACGTTCGGTCACACACA